AGTAGTGAAGATTAGTTTGAGGACAAAAGATGAAGAAGGCAGGGCTTACCAGCGAGGACATGGGCCGCGCGGGCGAGGAAAAGCGCGACTGGGTGGCTGTCCAGCAGCGCACCTTCACGCGCTGGGTCAACCAGCAGCTGGCCCGACGGGGCGGCCAGATCACCGACCTCCTGCAAGATCTGCCCGACGGCATTCACCTCATCCATCTCGTTGAGGAGCTCTCTGGTGCTCTTCTCAAAGGGTACTATAGCCCCCCCCCCATCGTCTTCTCTCTTTTGCGTTGGTTTCTTTTATTTTATTTTTTGTTCTTGATTATTTTTTAACATTTGTTTTGTTTTGTTTGTTTTTGTATTTATTTTGTTGACCCATTGGCGTTTGTCGGGCGTGGCGCAGGTACTCGGGCCGACCGCGTATGCGGTTCGAGAAGCTGCAGAACTGCATGCTCGCCCTGCAGGCCATCAAGAACGAGGGCATCTACCTCCTGGGCATTGGACCCGAAGGTGAGCGCTCACCTTCTTCTTCTTCTTCGTTATTTGTTTGTTTGTTTGTTTGTTTGTTTGTTTGTTTGTTGTTTGCTCAAACCAACCGCATCAATCACTAACCACACAACACACCACCACCACCACCAGACATCGTCGACCCCAACCTGAAGCTCATCCTGGGTCTGATCTGGACTCTCATCCTCCACTACCATCTCCAGGGCGGCGCTGGTCTCACCAGCCGAGGTCTCTCCCTTACCACTTCTTCACCGTGAGATTCCTTGAATTCCGTTCTAAGCTGCGTGTTGTGTGCGGTGTGTGTGTCTGTGTGTCTGTGTGTCTGTGTGTCTGTGTGTCTGTGTGTCTGTGTGTCTGTGTGTCTGTGTGTCTGTGTGTCTGTGTGTGGTGTGTGGTGTGTGGTGTGTGGTGTGTGTGTGTGTGTGTGTCTGTGTGCGGTCGGCATGTGCGCACGCTAGGCGGTAACGGAGGCGAGATCACCGCGGCGGGCGCGAGCGGCGCCGGGACCAAGTCGGGCGGCGTGGCCAAGAGCGGTCCGGCGAGGGCCAGAGGCGCGGCCATGAAGAGCGAGCTGCTCGAGTGGGTCAAGTCCAAGTGCGAGCCCAAGGGCGTGCAGGTCACCAACTTCACCTCTTCGTGGCAGGTACGCACATCAAACTCTGTCTACGCGCCTGGCGTGTGTCGTGTCGTGCCTTGCGTGTCGTCCGCACAACAGCTCACGGAGCTGGGCGCTATGTGTGTTGTGTGTTGTGTGTGTGTGTGTGTGTGTGTGTGTTGTGTGTGTGTGTGTGTGTGTGTGTAATTGTAGGACGGTCTGGCGATTGCGGCCCTCGTGGAGAGCCTGCGCCCGTCCACGCTCGACCTGGAGGCCCTCAAGCAGCAGGTCAAGGGCGGCGACGTCGACGCCCGCCTCACCACCACCCAGCTCGCCATCGCCGTACATCCGCCCGCCTCGAAATTTCGCATTCCTTCCGCCCCCCAACCCTGACACATGACACGCACGACACGCACCACCGCACACGACGATGCAGAAAGCGGATGAAGCGCTGGGCATTCCTCAAATTGTTGAGGCCGACGATCTGGTGCTCATGACCACGCCCGACGAGCTGTCGGTGCTGACCTACGTGGGCTACTTCCGCGCGTGGAGCGACTCAGACCCGTACCGCTGCATGGTCATGGGCCGCGGCATCGAGGCCCCCACGCTGGGCGAGCCCAACCAGTTCCAGGTCTCCATCTACGGCACCGTCAACAAGGAGCCCCTCGTGCTCAAGGACGACCAGATGAAGGTACAACCGCTCGCTCTCTCTCTCTCTCACACACACACCACACAAAACCGCACACGCACACAAAACCGCACACGCACGCGCTGACATTAGTGGTTGATGTGTGCAGGATTTGGAGATTGGGGTGACGGGCGACGATGGCAAGTCGCTGCCGGTGAAGGTGGCCAACAACCACGACGGCACCTATACCGTCGAGTACACGCCCACGACGCCCGGCGACTACGAGGTCGGCGTCAAGCTCTACAAGAAGTACGCACGACCGCACACACACACACACACACACACGACCGCACACGCACACGCACATGACACGACATGACACGCCGGGGTCTAACGGTGACAATTAAATTGTTTGGTGAAGGCTGGTGAAGGGTCATGGCCGCATCAAGCTGCGCGGCAATGCCGCGGCCTCGCTCAGCGCGGCCCACTGCGTGGCCGAGGGCAAGGGCCTCACCTCCGCCGCGGCCCTGCAGTCGGCCAACTTCAACATCACCAGTACCACCCTCCACATTCCTCACATACCACCCCTGCTTGAAATGATTGGAATGTTTGTTTTCTTGTCGGCCTGCTCGAACCCTCACCACGACGATGATGACGTGTACAGGCTACGATGCCAAGGGCAAGCGCGTGCTTGAGGGCGGCAACACCTTCACCGTCGAATTCGCCGGCGATTTCCCCGCCGACAAGACCCCCTTTGCCCACGTCCAGGTACGACTGCTGATCGCACACGACACACGCGCGCGCACACACTCACTCAGGCACGACACGACACGACACACAACGCGCAGGACAATGGCGACGGCACGTACTCGGTGTCGTACAAGCCCTTCGCCGAGGGCGACCACCAGATCGCGGTGAAGCTCAACGGCGAGCACATCAAGAGCTCGCCCTTCACGGCCAAGGTCGAGCGCGGCCCGTCGCCCGCCCACTGCGCCATCACCGAGTGGAACGAGGTCCGGGGCGCCACCGGGCCCAAGGCCGGCGAGGCCGTGCTGCTCGACAAGCGCGTCTCGTTCGTGATCGAGGCGCGCGACGGCGCCGGCAAGCGGTTCGACTCGGGCGGCCACAAGTTCGACGTCGACATCAAGCAGGTCAACGCCCAGGGCCAGGTGGAGGAGGAGGGCTTCCAGGTCGACAACGCCGACGACGACGATGGCGACGCCGCTGAGGTGCGCAACATCGTGTTCTCGAACCAGCGCGACAACGGCGACGGCACGTATCTGGTCAACTTCCTGGTGAAGGGCAAGGTCGAGGCCAACTACAAGCTCTTCGTCACGCTCGACCGCGAGCCCATCCACGGCACCCCGCTCGAATTTGCCGTCAAGCGCGCCGCCCTCGCCCCCGAGAAGTGCACCGTCGAAGGTGCGTGTCGTGTGTCGTGCTTTGTGTCGTGCGTGTCGTGCCGTGTGTGTCGTGTGACGACGTTTTGCTGATCGGTGTGCGTTGGTGCGTTGGTTCAGGTTCGGGCCTCACGAAGGGCTTCACCCACAGGCCGTCGCACTTCACCCTCACCGGCCGAGCCGCCGACGGCCAGGCCATGCCCATCCCCAAGTCCGACGGCTACCTCGTCCAGGTCCTCGGCCCTGGTACGCCCCCCATCCACCTTGCCCACAACACGACACGCACTCGCCACAACACGACACTCACCACACGAAACGCAACACGACACTCACCACCGCACACGTGACACGACACTCACCACTGCACACGCACAGACCAGAAGGAGTTGCCCGTGCATGTGGAGGACAACGAGGACGGCACGTACGACGTGTCGTACACTCCGACGGAGGTGGGTCCCCACCGCGTGTCAATCCACGTCAAGAGCCAGTCGCTGTCCGGGAGCCCGTTCACGGCCCAGGTCGAGAAGTTCGTCGACGCCGCCAAGTGCGTGGCCGAGGGCGAGGGCCTGTCGGGCGAGGTCACCACCAACAAGCCGCTCGTCTTCACCGTCAAGCTGTTCGCGCCCAACGGCGAGCCCGTCCACGAGGGCGGCGACAAGGTCGACGTCAAGATCACCTCCACCTCCTCGGGTACGTACCACGCCCAGCCAACCGCACCGCACACGCCACCACCGCACACACGCAACCGCACACGCGTGATTGCTGACTCACTGAGGTGAATGCAGGCAACGAGTTGAATAACGTCAGCAGCGTGCGCGACAACAAGGACGGCACCTACACCGTGCGCTACTTCCTGCCGTTCACCGACACTTTCAAACTCGACGTCTCTCTCTACGGCGAGAGGTACTGCCACCATCCACCGCACGCACACGCACCACCGCACACGCACGGTTGCCGACTGACGGGTGATGATGATGATGACGACGACGATGCACACATCAGCATCCAATCGTCGCCGTTCCGCGTGACGGCGGTCAAGGGCAAGGAGGACTTTGCGTCGTTCGCGTGGGTGGCCAAGGACTCCACGGGCAAGGGCATGGTCAAGTCCGTCGACGACTTTGCCATCAACATCGAGGGTCCCAGCGGCAAGGACATCGAGGTACCATTTCACACAATTATTTGTTGTTATTATTCTTATTGTAAATTATAATTAATCATTTTTATTTATTTATTTATTGTTAATATCAACATTTTTATGACCACATACCTCGCATTCCTCACCTATTGGGTGGTGGCCAGGGTTGGCGCGGAGTGGACATCGACGAAGGCGCCTACGGCGTGGACTTTGTGCCGACCGAGGGTCCCGGCAAGTACAAGATCAACGTGCGACGCAACGGGAAGCACATCCCCAACTCGCCCTTCATCCTCGACCTCGGCGAGAAGAAGCTGCCCTCGACCAAGCTCGCCTTCACCGCCCGCCGCAAGGACGGCAGCCCCATCAACGACGCCACCCGTACGCACTCCCTTCTAGTACAGATTTTTGGCTTGTTGCCCATGGCAACAGCCCAGACTGACACATGGGGCGTTTTGGTATGCAGCGGCGGACTTCAGCGCGGAGGTGCGCGGACCGGATGACGTGGCATTGGAGACGCAGATCGTCGACGACGGCGCGCCCACCTTCGGCCTCATCTTCCAGCCCAACGGTGCGCCACGCTCGTCGCTGTTCAGGTTCAACCACCGTGTGCTGACGTGTGTGTGTGTGTTGCAATGAATGTGTGGAATGTACGCGCACGCGGAGAATAGTTGCGGGCGTGCACAAGGTGGTGATCAAGTACAAGGGCGAGGAGATCCTCAACAGCCAGGCTAACGTCGGCGGCGCGCCCGGCGCCGCTGCCCCGCCCGCCACCCCGCCGCCCGGTAAGTTCCACGGCGCACATTTCCGTGTGTGCGTGTACGTGTGTGTGTCGTGTGCGTGTCGTTGCGTGTGCGTGTGCGGCGGTCTCATTGACGCGCGTGTTGTTCTGCTCGCAGAGAAATTCCTGGTGCGGTTCCCCTTCACCCCGCTCAAGAAGGACGGCTCGCCCGTCAACGCCAAGTCGCCCTCCGAGTTCGTCGCCAAGGTTCGCTCGCCATTCACGCACAACACTCGCGTGTTTACCGCCGCACACGACACGACACAACACGACACGCGCTAACCCACGCGCGCGCATGATATGTGTCGACAGGTGAGCGGACCCGACGACGACGTGGTGTCGAATGAGGTGCAGGACCTGGGCGGCGGCAAGTACGCGGTCGCGTTCGAGCCCAAGCTCCCCGGCATCCACACCATCTCCATCCAGCACCAGGGCGAGGAGATCAAGGACGGCCCCTTCCGCATCAACGTCGGAGGTACAGCGAACTTGCCCCGCACCCCGCGTGTGTGCTGTGTGCGGTCGTGTGCTGTGCTGTGTGCGGTATGCTGATGGGGTGCGTGTGTGGTGAGCAGGTCAGGCCATGGGCGGTGCGGCGCAGCCGCCTGCTCCGGCGGCCGAGCAGCCGCGCAAGCAGTTCATGCGGTTCCCGTTCACGCCCAAGAACGCCCAGGACGACTCCCCCATTGTGCCCAAGAGCCTATCGGAGCTCACCACCGAGGTACACTCTTGTTCCATTGGTCGCTCATGCATTACCATGCAACTCTTTTTTCCGATTGGGTGTTTGGCTGATGTTGACGTGCAACCAAACCTATAGATCGCAGCTCCCGATGGGTCGTCGGTGCCGGGCGAGGTGACGGACATGGGCAACGGCCAGTACGGCATCGTGTTCGAGCCCAAGGGACCCGGGCGCTACGTCATCGGCGTCAAGCACAACGGACAGCACGTCAAGGACTCCCCGTTCCACATCAACGTCGGCGGTCAGCCCGCCGCCGCCGCCCCTGCCGCGGCGGCTCCCGCCCCGTCGCAGCCCGCCCAGCAGCAGCAGCAGTCAGTCAAGTTCCCCTTTGCCTGCAAGCTCCAGGACGGCACTCCCTTCACGCCCAACTCGCTCAGCGAATTCGAGGTATGCGTTATTTCATTTTTAGATTTATTTTTGATAATATTGCTATTTTCCTAAAATAACGGCAATAATTGTTCATTTTTTCTCTTTTTTTGTGGCGTGCAGAGCGAGGTGGTGGGACCGGACGACAAGGCGATCAGCTCGCAGGTCGACGACAGGGGCGGCCAGCACGGCGTCGTGTTCGTGCCGGGTCCGCCCGGCCGCCACAAGATCACCGTCAAGTGGAACGGCCAGCCCGTCCAGGGCAGCACCTTCGGCATCAACATCGGCGGCGGCAGTAAGCCCGCCGAGGCCCCCAAGCCTCAGGCCGCCGCTGCCTCCGCGCCCGCGCCCGCCACCGGCGGACCCCAGGAAATCCAGACCGCCGGGCAGTACGCCAGCCCAGCCGCCTTCTTAACATTTAACGCCGCCTCCTTAACCCTGTGCCACCGCCGCCTTCTTAACAACTGCAGGAAGAAGTTCACGTTCGTGTCGGGCAAGTCGTTCGCGCGCTTCCCGCTGGCGCCGGTGTCGGTCACGGGCCAGCCGCTGGACGACAGCGTGCCGCAGATGGAGGTGACCGTGCACGACCCGGCCCAGGCGGAGATCGGCTACAAGGTGATCCGCGACGACGACGGCTTCGCCATCCTCTTCCAGCCGCTCGTGCCGGGCGACTACACCGTCGCCGTGCGCCTGGCCGACCGCCACATCCGCGACTCGCCCTTCACGGTGCCGATCGGAACCGACCGCCAGCGCGAGCTGATGGACAAGATGGGCGGCGCGCCGCTGCCGCAGGCCAAGTTCAGCGTCACGCCCAAGTCGACGGCCGACGACGGCCGCACCAACCTGCTGGCCGACGTGGCCGGCGCGACGGCGGCCGACTTTGCGGTGACGATCGAGGGACCCGAGGGCCAGGCCGTCGAGGGCCGGCTGGCCGCGGGCGCCGCCAGCGCCTCGACGCTGGACGTCGTGTTCAGGCCGCCCGTGCCCGGCGTCTACACGATCCGCATCGAGCACAAGACCCAGGGACCCATCGTCAACAGCCCCTTCCGCCTCCAGGTCGCCCCGCCGCCCGGCATGAGCGCCCAATGATTGTGTGTGACACCATTGTTGTTTTTAATGATAAAATCACAGACTTTATTTATTATTCATGTATTCCGGAGCCAACCGTCAGCGCCCTCGAGGCCAGGGGACAGGAGACACGCAGAGTTGTCATCGGGACACGCATACTGGTGATCGGTTTGTTTGTTTATATCCTTCGTCTTCCGAGTCTCCAACTCAGATTATGTTGCCCACGCCGCCCCATCCTATTTTGGGTTAACCCTAGGGACACTGGACCCCAAACCCTAACCCTAAACCCCAAACCCTAGCCCTAACCCTAAACCACATCATCATAAGGGGTGGGTGTGATCAGGTTGTGTCCAAGAGGCTCTTCCTGTGTGGAGGGAAAGACACAATGAAACCCTCAAGGATGTCCTCCAAAATTTGCAACAATGGACACTAAATAGAAGTCCTCTGATGTTGAGTTGAACTGTTGAACTGGCCCAGCATCCTCATTGGGCTTGTTGGTGCCCATGTCTTGTACATTGGGGCTTTCATCATGTACATAAGTGTGAGGGGGAAGACAGTTGAAATCCATCATTATGGTTGAAAGATGCATCTATGTACCAATGATTTTTGACATATACCTTTGCTTGCTTGGTTATGTTTGATTTTGCCACTTTTCATTGGTACAGCAAGGCAAGTGTATCCTGTCAGGCCCTGCCATTGCTATGAAGGTAGGGTGAAGTGCAGTTGCTAGGGGCAACCAGGTCCCCTATGTCATATATAGAGATCAAGGAATGTCAAGGGGGGGTCAAGGGGGGGAACCAGAAAAGACTTCCCTGCGCAGGCATGAAGGCAACCTGTTAGCAGTAAATTCTCAAAAGATGGCATGGTCGTACGGCGCGTCGTCGAGCGCGCCCTCATGCGTGGCGAATTTCGGTGTCCGCCAGGCGCGGAGGCTTGCATCGTGTCGCATGCCAGCGAACAACAGCCGCGGCTGCAACGCTGCAAGCGTACGGCCACCTCGGCGTTGTCCTCGTTGCTGGGCATCTTCACGAAAAGGAGGCCGCTAATGACGCCAATAAAACTGCCTATTCAGTTTTATTATTGTCCGCGAGCGACTCAATAATTTGTGCTTCGGTGAATCCGCTCCTCTCGAGCGCGGAGCCAAAGGCGGTGCCATGGACCTGCGCGGCCAAGAGCGGCGCACCGGCAGCTGGTGCGTTGTCCCCCGCCTGCTGCTCCTGCTCCTGCTCCTGCTCCTGTTGCTCGTGGGTCACCAATGGCTTTGGTGAGGCGGCGGTGGTGGTGGTGGTGGGCGGCGACGGCGAGGGGGAGGAGGAAGAGGAGAGGGAGGCCCAGAAGTCGTTGAGGCGCGTGCGGAAGGGGGGGTCGGTGTAGTAGGTGTAGCCCACCCAGGCCGAGAAACCCGTGGCTGCCCCAGCCAATTCCCAATAAACCCCAAACGCCGGATCGCGCAGCAGGCGGCTCCATAAGCCCGCATGTCCGCCGCCGCCGCCGCCGGAGCTGGGCGGAGGGGTGGCCCCCGCATTGGCGAAGAGACGGCGCGAAGTCACCTGGCGCGCCGCAGGGACGCGTGCATGCGTACTCGAAGCGGGGAGGCGGCACGCTGCCCTCGCACGGCTTCCATTATTAAATCCCCGGCGCAGCATTCGTCAGATGCAGTGCAGATGGAAGTGGTGGAGATGAAATGGGGGGGATAACATGTGCCTGCACGCCCGGCAGAGAGGAAAAGGGCGGGAAATGCGCCCCCAAAATGCTGCTCGCAGAAACACAACAAAGTTGTTTTCTTTTCTTTTCTTTTTGTTCTTTTGTTCTTTTTCTTTTTTGTATTTTTTTTTGATTGAAACAAGAAGTCGCCCCACAAGGCTTCAAAAGATCCCCACTCATGTGGCGAAGTGAACTGTTGTTTGCAGTGCTTGGGTTGGTGGATCCTGTGAGCTGCTGTTGGATGCTGACCCAGGAATGAGGGCTGCACAGCTCCATGACCATGATGGCCTGGTTGTTGTGTGAGGTATACCCAACCCAAGCTTCAATTAACTCAGCCAGCCAACTTGAAACCTACATCAAACTCTGCGTCAAAGCCTACCCCAAGCCTCACCTCAAGGCTGAAATGCTTCTGGAGGAGAGTGAACAAGTCACTGGGGTGCTCAAGAAATTGGGATATGCCATCCCTCACATCAACCATGAGGACAAGGGCAGTGTCACACACAATATGGTCATGAACATCAGCGGACCTGCACAGATCCCATCACTCAAGGAGCTGTGTGTGGAGGAATGTAGGCAACTCCTGGACCTGAGAGTGTGCTTGTTCCAGATGACCCAGGATCTGGGTGAGGAGATTGTCAATGTCTGATGGAAACACCCCCAAAAAGAAGAGGATGAGGAGGACTCAAGAGAAAGTGAATTGGATAGTGTAAACATTAGTTGATCTTCACCTTCTGCGTTTTGTGGTCCCAAGTGTGGTCACATCAACGCCAGCCAGCAAGCGTGTGTCATGAGGCCCCCATCAGCACACTTGTTGACACCCAGCTCTCCATCAGGGAACAACTCTCCATGGCCTTCCAGCTCATCTACACCACCACATGCCTGGAGCAATTCAGGGGTGTCCACATTGGCACATGCAACACTGCCAGCGTCAGATGGTCACACAAACCCAACAAGTATGCACAATTTGTCATCCCAGCAGGCAGGGCAACAGACCAGGTCAGGTGTTCTGGGTGCACACCTATGGCCACTCATGGTTCTGGTGCAATCTGGACACCGCCATCATTGGTGAACACATGCGACCGTCAGTGATAACATGACTTGCTATCACAAGGTGCACAATGCCAGCATGCAATCTGAAATGAAACTCAGCCAAGAAGCTATCCTGGTCAAACTGATCAACATGAGATTGCATGCCACCAAACTCCACACATCTGATCTGGGGGTGCTGACGACACCACATGAAACCTGGAGATTGTGTGCCATTGATCTTGTGTGGGGGATGCTGTGTCTTGCCAATCCTTGTGCCAAGCCCAGCATGCTGTTGTATGTGTGGTGGCAGAATCTGGAGACGGCCTCTGATCTCATGGGCATCCTGTGCAATGCTGACTGGGCCACCACCCAGGGGAGGGTTTTTGAGGATGAATTGCAACAGCTGATCTGACAGATGGAGCTTGTGCCGCCATTCAAAGAGAAGCGCAACATGGTCTGGCGTGGCGACCAATGTGCTGTGCTGTTCAAGCCTGAGGTGTTGGTCGGCGTGGTTCCAATGGATTGCATGGATCACCGGGATCCGATCGAGGCCAAAGGATTCTTTGGGGTGCTTGAGGCGCTGGAGCCGGGCCTGTGCACCAATGTGTACCTGCTGCCCGCCAACGAGGACTATTGCACCCGCATACTTGTCCTGAGGACGTTGGCGCTGTTGGCCCTGGTGGAAACAACTGCAGATGACGGGCAACAAGTTCATTAAGTTCTTCCCTCACCTCCACGCGGTCGCCGATCAACCAGATCTTCACGCCATCGTCAAGGGCATGGATCCAATCAACGCCAGCGTGATCGTCAACTCCATCCAGCACATGGCATCGCATGCAACACCGCCTACCTCGCCAACATCAACACCAAAAACAACAACAATCACATCAAGGATACGCTCATGCGCACCTACTCAGCCAGCGCCCTTTCGCTCCTCCCACATTACAACAGCAAGACAATCTTGCAGAAGCACGCCCTCTACACCATCACTAAAGACGGCAGTGTCACCGTCAGTTACACTCGACGGGTGTGCCTGCTGGCATCACGACCGACAGCCCGCGACTTCACGACCATCCTTGGGCACGCGCCCATCGACGTGCCCTGCATCGTCGCCGACAAGGCCAACATCGAGTCGCTGGCACAGACCCAACTCAACGAACCACAGCTGGGCATCTATGCGGGGGTGGCCCACGCCCTCTATCCATTCCCCGTGGGCAGTGCCGAGGATCACGATTTCCTTTCAAATCACAAGAGCATGTACCAGAATCCAGGGATCCACACGCAGTTTTGGCCAATCCTGATCCACAAGCTCGCCACCCACCAGCATGTCAACAATCTGTGTTCACTCAATCCTGACAGCACGCCATTGCACCTCCATATCAAGTTTGCCAAAACGAGCCCCCACCAGACAAGTACACAATCATCAACGACCACCTCAATCGCCATCATTGATGAATCAGCAGCCGTCAACAGATTCACCCCAGAACAGACATGGGCCGTGAGGCGCACCTGTTGCGCCCCCTCACTGACCTTGGGATGTACAGCAGCAATGAATGAGCCATGCCGTATGCATGGACCGCCAGATCCAACAGGTCGCGTCAGCAGATCTGGCTCGAGGACGAACGCGGCCTCCTTCGGTGTGGAACCGATCGCCCGTGGTTGCCCATCGCCATTGACATGAGCCAGTCCAAGCATGGTGGCGGTCACGCCATCCTGCTCCTCGTCAACCTCGCGTTGGGCCGCGCCTACCTCTTCGAACCCAACGGCGCCGGACTCACCGACGACGAGCTTGGGGGCGTGGTGCCGCCATCCAACGATCTCGAGCGCCATGCCGCCTACCGCGAATCTCTGGCCGTGCAGGTTCTGCCACCCATCTACCGGATGCTGGTGCGGCGTGCCGGTTTGCGACCGGCGCAGTGGGTCACCACCCAGTTCATCGCCAACGCCGACAACCATGTGCTCAGCCAGGGGCCACAGAATCTGTAGGGTCAGCCCGAAGACATGCTTGGCCGCGATCCGGGCACCTGCGTGGCGTGGCGCACGCTGTTCTACCACCTCTTCATTCTCCACTCCGAGCTCGAACCGGATGATATTCTGACGCGCATGATTGACCCCGCCCCTACCTCGGCCAGATCATTGGACGGTACTCGATGTTGTTGGCGCGCATGATTCGAGTCGCGAATCATGCGCGCCAAAAACAATGCATTATTCGTGCCCTACGGGAACTGGCGTGCGTCATCCCGCGATTCAAACTGCCCCACGGCAAGATGCTCAAGTACGATCAGAAGAGCTACGATCTGCTGCCCGAGTGCGCCAAGAAACACATCGAGCCCATTGGCGACTACGTCGAGGACATCGAGCTGTGCTACTTTGCGGCGACGACGCTGACGACGGCGAACGGCATTTTAAGCCCTACCACAACGATCGCACGCGTACCGACATCGTACCGCCGACATGGAGCTTCGTCCACGCCATCATCCATCGATGCGACGACGCCGTTGCCGAGATGTCGCGTACCATCGCCGGGGCGTTCGACGCGCCCTCGACGTACCGACGCTCCGGTGTGTCTGTCTGGTATTAAAAGAGATTTACCGAACCCAAGACAACGAGCATTACAATCGCCAACACAAGGATACCGCCGCCGATGATCTTGCGTTGCGTGTTGGCGGTCCAGAACTGGACGAATCGCGACCAAAAGCTGTCTCCGTCGCCGCCACCGTTGTTTTTGCACAGGTCGGGATGGCGCTGGCAGCAGTAGGTCTCGAAGCTGTTGTCGTTGATCTCGCACCCATCCGTGCAGGCGCAATCGATGATGGCCCCGCAAAAATCCGGACACCGTGTCGCCTGGTTGACGTGATCGAGCGTCTGGTAGCCGCCGGACGTGCACGGCGCCGAAAAGCACGAGGGTGCCGGGATGCCGTCCTTGTCGGATCGGATGCACGCGCACAGGGGATCGCTAGGCGCCGCCACCGTCTCGCAGTATTTGCGCATTGTGGGATCGCACAGGGCCTTGTTTTCGACCTTGGAGCAGAACAGCTGACACGTCGGTCCGGCGATGTTGTCGGTGCTGGCGCAGTAGTCGTTGAGGATGCCCTTGCAGTCGTCGCTACACGGGCACCACGAGTTGCCGCAGTCGTAAAAGTTGTGCACGTCAAGCGAGGTGCAGCATCCGAACTGATTCTTGGCCGGCGGCTGGACGCGGAGGCAGCACCCGCCGGTCTCGCTGGCGCACCACCGCGATCCGTCGGCGCCGCCGCCGTTGCGCTGCGTGCACGTCGTGTCGCCCGAGTGGGCGCAGTCGGTGCTCGAAACGCCGGTGGTCATGCGTCCACACACGCACGATAGCGTGCATCGCACGAGGTGGAGGCGGAATCGGACATGGTGTTTGCGTGTGGCCCTCATCGTAATGAAATAACCGGTGTGGGATTCACGCGCATCACGGCTGAATGGGCATCATTTTATTTGGCCTAGGAAACATAATAGAGGCTCGCATGACCACCCCAAACTAGAAAGGCGTTGCATTTGTCCAGTCGCCAGAATGTGTCGGTCATCACTTGGCCGTCGCGATGAAACGCCTTCGGCTGCGAGACGAGTGAACTCAGGCGTGTTCGATCATGGGGGCATGCCTCCTCACAAACTCGATCAATTTCTTCCGACATTCTGCTTGCGCTTCTTGGAGGGAGCAAAAGAAGACGGTATTGATGGAGGCGCCTATCAAGCTGAACGTCGGTGGACGCTGTTCTAAACGACCCTGGCCACCTTAACCTCAGCGTCCTGGCGACCATGTTCGGGGAGGTCTGGCGACAAGAGGGAAAGGTTCACTTCGTCGACGCCGATCCGACGATCTTTGCCGCAATCCTCAACGCGATGAGGCGTGGCCATCCGGCAGACCATGCGTTCAAGCCCACCAACGTGACGTCGGCGGCGTGGGAGATTTTGAACCGCAAACCGGATATTATTTTCACCCAATCATTGCTTGGTTGTCTCAATCCGCCATAAATTACAGAAAAAAACTAAACCAATACCCAGGCCTTTTTGTCCACGCCACAGCCAGCATGCGTTTCGCCGCCCCTCTCGCCCTCTCCGCGGTCCTCTTCTTCTTCTTCGTCGCCTCCGCCTCGTCGGACGAGCAGCAGCATGACGACCCTCTCAGGGGCGCGTTCGCCCAGTGGATGAGGACCCACGCCAAGTCGTACTCCAACGAGGAGTTCGTCTTCCGCTGGAACGCATGGCGCGAGAACCACCGCTTCATCGAGGAGCACAACCGCCAGAACCACAGCTACCACCTCGCCATGAACCAGTTTGGCGATCTCACCGCCGACGAGTTCCAGACGCTCTACACCCCAAACTTGGGGCGTGGACCTCTCACTGCCGACGACAACTCCACTGCTACTCCTCCAATCTTGAAGGAGAAGGCCACCTTCGCTCTTGCGTGTGTCGACTGGAGACAGACTACTCCCAGAGTCAAGAACCAGGGTACGCAGCCCCCCCCCCGCCCAAAGCCCAATTTGCACTGCCAATCTTAGTGTTTATGTGTGTTGATTACTTCTTTTTCAGGTCAGTGTGGCTCTGACTATGCGTTCTCCGCTCTTGGTGCCCTCGAGGGCATGCTCTCGAGAAAGTACGGCCGTCAAGGTTTTGATCTTTCTGAGCAGAACATCGTCGACTGCTCGGGACCTCAAGGCAACTACGGCTGCAATGGTGGTTTCATGACGGCATGCTATGAGTACGTCAAGAAGTCAGGTGGCGTCAACTACGCGGTCAACTATCCCTACACGGGGCAACAAGGCCAGTGCCGCTTCAACCCCAATTCGAAAGTAGGGCTTAGCAGTTACGCTGTGATCCCCTACGGCAGCGAGCAAGCTCTCGAACAAGCGCTTGCCACGGTTGGACCCGTCGCTGTCGCCGTCGATGCCTCGCTCCCATCCTTCCGGTTCTACTCGGCGGGCATCTACGTCGAGCCCTCCGCAACCCCAACAAACTTAGCCACGCTCTGGTTGCCCTTGGTAACTGCACGGAGAATGGCATGGCGTACTACCTCCTCAAGAACTCGTGGGGCACTGGTTGGGGCGAAGGGGGCTACATGAAGAGCCCTGAGTCACTAAGGGCAGGAACATGTGTGGTATTACCAATATGGCCTCTTATCCCGTTGTATAATCTTATCCATAAATGATTTGGTTCCTTTATTGCAAGCCCACGCTCTCGGTAGAGTTGATCTCTGGGATGCGGTCCTTATGGGCGGGAGCGATTGTCTTGGCGTTGGCGTGTTGTGCATTGGGCGTGGGCTTATGGCACGAGAGGGCACCCGTGTTCGTGCTGTTGTCCACTTTCGACGACGCTCACACTCCAATATTAGAAGACGATCTTGGGCTTGGAGTGCCCTTCTATTGGTCGATGATTGCTCATGATGCGGACAGCTGTGTGCAGAACCGATGATGTTGAGGTTGGTGTTGTTGGTGAGCCGCAGCCGCAAGTCGAACACGCTGCCCGCGTCGACCGGCACGGCCGCCGAGAACGAGATGCGGTCGCCCATACCATCAGTTGGTCGCGTTGGTCGCGTTCATGAAGTCGGCAAACGGGCCTAACGGTCCGGCACTCTTGGATTCGGCCTGCGAGATCCCGTCGTGAATGATGAAGGGTTCCGCACACTATTTTAAAGGGACATGAGGATCTTTTGACGCAAATACACAAAGGCGTGATCGTAAGCCATCTCTATCGCCCGATTCTGTTCCGTATCGGCGGCGATGCCTCTTGCGATCCACGAGACACCGCCGTCGTCGCCACGAGCGCGATCGAACGCCTCTTTGTACGGCGGATCGGCATCCGGATCGGCGCGAACGATATCGGCGACGAATCCCACGACGATGTCGATCTGGCACTTTGCGAGCTCAATGGGGCAGCGCGCGATGGTGTCTATCCAGCCGATCAGATCCGGTCGTCCGACGTAGGCCGCGCACGCCCATAGCCCGCCTATAGCCCGCCGTCCCACGGGCAACCGCGGTGGAGCAGCCACTCCAACACATCCCAGCGCATTTCTGCGGCGGCGGTGAAACACGCCGCCATGCCCCAGGTGCTCTCTCCGGCATCTTGTGCCCGCCTGAACCAGTCGGCGATGGCAAGGTTGGTGGTGTGAACGGGAGGCGCCATGGAGGTGATATGGAGCATCGTGCTCGTGGTGGCAATTTATTCGTGCCTGTAGAACAACACGCCGGACACCACGCCTTGGCGTCGTGATCGTAGTGCTTGCTGATGATTTCAGCGGATTCGCCCCACCCCTCAATCTCATGGCCCGCGGCGGCGTCGACCAGGACCTCAAAGTTGCACTTGATGGTGGCTCGGGTCTTGTCCGATGGCTTGATGCTCTTGAACCCTAAGATCCTCCACTTGCCGCCCAAAGGACGATGTTGATACACAACGAGTCGCGCGTCGACGATGCTCTTGATCTCGCGTCGGATTGATTCGGCGGTGCTGTCGTCGAGTCCGAGGGTCGTCTTGCCGCTGAGCAGATCGCGCATCAGTTGGAGTTCGAGTGCATACTTTCCGACGAGAAAGTGAACACCGTCGCCGACATCATTGACGATCGTGCCAAAGAAGAGCAGCGCGCGGGCGCCGGCATCGTGGCACTCGGCGTCGCTCTTGACCTTCTTGATCTGACGTTTCAAATCCGCGATGGGCTCGCGCACGATATCGTAGGTCTCACGTTTGCGTTTTTTGGCCTCGGTGATGGCGGCGCGCCGGTTCTCTAGCTCGTTGAACCAGCCCGGATCGATCCTGCGCCCGATCCACGCTTGCACGCTCGGCTTGAGGCATCGCCTCATGAAGCGGATGGCGTTGTCCTTGGAGTGTGGCACGTTCTCGAACAGCCACTTGAACATGGCGTACTGGCTAAAGTGAAGAGCGGTATCGCACAGCTCGGCGTCGACGATGTGACTGTTGGCGTGTGCAATCTTGATGAACTCGAGGTCACCCTCTCGGATCGCTTTGTCGAACAACCCCTTGTCGAGAGGGATGCTGGTCGTGCTCTCCATGTTATGGTTCTGGTGACAATGACGCGGCTGCTCCAACAACCAACTTATTTGCGTAGGCAACGCGCAGTTTATCCCGACAGCTGCGTGCAGAACCACGAGCAGCCAATGATGTTGAGATTGGTGTTGTTGTTGCTGAGTCGCAGCCGCACGTCGAACACGTTGCCTGCGTTAACCGGTACGGTCGCCGAGAACGAGATGCGGTCGCCCATACCATCATCGGCGGCGTAGACGATCTTGTTGAAGGCGCTCACGATCTTGTCGTCGCAGTAGAGCGTGACGCCCCAGCGCGCAGTCCCGCCGGGTCCGGTGGTGTTGACGTTGATCGTGTGCAGGTACTCGCCGGCGACGTTGACCGTGCACTTGCTGTTGACAGCGTCAAACGTGACGGCGGATGTGGGCGCTTGAGGTCGGGGCACGCTCACCGAGTTGACACCGATCGACACAAAGTCGAAATTGATAAAGGAGAGGTCGCCAGAGGTGCCGCCGTCGCCGGGAGCCTGGATGAAGGTGTTGCCCGTCGATCCGTTGGTGGTGATCGCTCCGCTGAATCCGGCAAAGACCGGCTGTGGGTAAGAGGCAGACAGATTGGCGAGCTGCGCCAGCGGCACGCGGCCGTTGCTGTCGAGCGTAGCGAGGCCGTTGGGCTGGCCCTTGGAGCTGACGAAGGCGTCGATCTGCGCGTGCGTGTTGGTGCCCTTGTTGGTGAGATTGACATGATCATGGAAGCCCATTTAACGCCCGTCACCGTGGTCGTGTCGGCGATGAGTGCCTGGTGGGTGGCGCCCGCGGCCTGCGCCGTCGGCGTGCTCCCATTGCCCACCAAGAAGGTGCCCTTGGCGGTGGCACGCGCGACATTGCCCAACTGATTCGATGGCACCTGCGCCGTGCCGTCGAGCGACGCGTAACCGTTGATCACACCCTTGCTGGACTTGTCTTCCTTGGTAGAGCCGAGATTGGTCACCGCAGTCGTGCCGCCGACGTTTTCGAGCTGGGCTGTGGGCACGCGGATGTTGCCGTCGAGGGACGCCACACCCTTGTTGAACTTGTCCTCCTTGCCCGTCTGGAGCGCCGCGATCGGACCGCGTTGTCGCCGATGACGACGGTGCCGCCGACGGCGTCCTCGATGACCTGGCTGGTGGCGATGGCGACCCGGCCGTCGCCGTATTTCGCCATGAGGCCCGATCCGGCCATATCGGTCAGATAGAGATCGCCATTGACATCGTATCTCGTGTTCATCGTGGGCGCGATTCATCGGATCGTCAGACAATTTAAAACGGCGTGCATCGGCGATCACGATCCGTGGTGGCTCAGGATCCCCTTGACTTTATTTCATCGATGTTGGCAAGTATGAAATCGCACAGCCGGGGACGAGACACCGGTTTGCCCTCGCGGAAGAACTGGCCGTGTTCGGCGATGAGGCACATCCGAAACAGGCCGTGTTCCACGCGTATGTTGATTCTGAACTCGGTTCGCGCCTTGGATACCCCACACGACGGACAGTGTTTTTCACCGTTTAGGTAAATGTCGCTGGCCGATCGCAGTTTGTTTTGTCTGTTGCGCTCCTTCCAGTGGGATCCGCAGCATGACTTACACCATCCGCTCAAACCATCCGAATCTCTCTTGTTCTTGTTGAACATTTCTATTGTTTTAGCCTCCTTGCATCTCGGGCATCGTTTGGTCGCTGGCATTGTATGCGTTCAGACGGAGATGAAATCGCCAAAACAGTTTAATGAGCGAAGTGCAAACCGACCGCCAGAATGAGCACCACTGCCAAAATGTACACGAAGTACAGCCAAGGCCTGGATGGTTTTTGGTGTTTGGCGGCCTGTTTTTGCGCATATCCGGCCGACGATCCTGTGTTTTTGCCCAGGCAGTGCGTGACGATCGAATTATGATCAACGACGCAATCGCCGCTGCCAGAACACGAAATGACTGTCCCGCAAAAGGATGGGCAGTTCTGCGCCTGGGTCGCTTGGTCGAAATTTTTGTAGCCGCTGGCGCTACACCTACTATCAAAGCAGCCGGGGATCGGCGATCCGCGTGCCACGGCGTTGATGCACGAGCACAGAGGATCCGCCTGACCCGCGCTGGTGGCGCAGTAGGTCTCCATCGCCGTGTCGCAGAAGCGCTTGTTGTCGATGACCGAACAGAACGATTGGCAGAGCGGGCTGGTGACGTTGGCCGGATCCATGCAGTGTTGCCCGACGATCTCTTGGCATCCGGGGCTCCACGGGTACAGATCGTTGCCGCACTCGGCAAAGGTGTCCTTCTGGCGCAGACAGCACGGGACGATGTTGTCCATCGGTGGCGACAGACGCATGCAGCATCCGTAGCCGTCGCTGGCGCACCATGGCCGCACCAACCGGGCTTTTTTTGTTATTTGCTTTTCTTTTCCTGGAAACACCAACAACGTGAAGATCCGCGCGCCGGAAGGAAGAAGCAAAATCAAAAGATGGGCTATGAAACGGACTTTGAGGGAGAGCTGAACATTCGACCTCGCCTGGCCGATGAGTTTGTTGCGCGCTTCAACGACGTGGCCTCGCGTCGCAACAACGTCTATGGCGACGGCGACGAGGGCTCTTTCGACCACCTCGTACTGCCCCCCCCCCTCTTCTTTCTCTTTCGCTCTCGCTCTTTGTTGTTTGTTGTCGACAAACTAAAAAGGCGCACGCTGCGGGCAGGTCTTTGGGAAACGAGGCACCGCAGCGGGAGCTCGAGTCCAAGAGAGATACGATAACCCGGCCTGGACTGGTACCTTTCACCACCTTCACCAGTGTTGTGTTCTCTTCACAACTTAAGTTGTGAAAACTGCACTGTACACATGTCATGCAGGTGTACCATCGTGCTGGAATGCTTGGCAGCTCAAAAACGAGCCTGGCAAGGTACACTCATACGCGTACATATGTAGTTTTATTTATCTACATGTTGTATCTACATGTTGGTAGATAACATGTGGAATATGGTGGCTGTAGCAGACATGCACAATCCTGCACTGGGAGGGAAACTCCAAGTTCTACAACTACGTCCAGTGGCTGCAGTTTGTGGTGGACTACATCATCAGGGAGAACCAGGCGCTGGCGCCTCTTCTCAACTTTCAGGGCGCCATCACATGGAATCAGGACAGGACTGACTGCGACGACAAAGGAGTCCTCACGCTCAAGGTTTGCACTTCGCCTCCATCGTGTCGTGTGTGTCTGTGTGTCGTGTGTCATGTGTGTCGTGTGTCGTGTGCGTGTGCATGTTCTCATGACCGATTGCGTGATAATATGGCAGCGTGTGCAAGAGAAATGGAAGGTGGTCGCCACCGTGGAGACACCCTACACCGTTCTTCTGCCCATGCAAAAATCCGCGGTACTCCTCTTGTGCATGCCTACATGCCACATTTACACATTATTTATTCAACATGTTGTGCAAGATGACGAACATTAACATGTTTTTGTACAGCGCGAATTCAGAGAAGTTTGGTCACCTTTCTATCGCGGCGGCTACTGCCCTGTGCTTCTCCCTGGCCCGCGCAAGGAGGGTACCCACCTCACACACACACACACACGACACACACACACACAGCACGACCGCACACGCACACAACATGACTGCACACGCTGATGTGGTGCCTCCTCCCCAGGGATGGTGGAATCTAAGCGAGATGCGGTGCACGCCGACGACCCCTGCGAGAAGCCCGAGTGCAGGCTGACCGACCAGGGCGGGCAGCTCGAGGTCTTCGTCCAGCCGCGTCTGCCGTCGCTGTTGCATCTCTGCCTGTCCGTGGCCGCCACCAACCTCGCTCGGTCTGCCGAACCAGCCGCTCAACCTTTAGGTACTGCCACCGCACACGCCGCACACGTCATGCGCAATTAGCTGATACCACCCGGGCGGACCACACGACACACACACACAACACACACACACACACACACACACACACGATACACACACGATACACACACACACACAGAATCACTGCCGGAAGAACTGCAGAGGGAGCTGAGGAGGGGCGGTCGCCACTGCAGCGGCTGCGGGCGCCTGTTCTGGGGCGCGGCCGGTGCCAACGTCTTTGGTACCACTCATACGCAACCAACTCGCCCAACTCTTCGCTGCTGATCATTCTTTGCTTCAATGACATATGAACTCCACGGCGCGCGCGCACACACACACGCACACACACGACACACACACACACACACACACACGACTCGTGCAGTGCTGTTGTCGATCATGTTTGACGGGCTGCCCATGCTGGGGCGCTACTGCTCAGTGCACTGTTGGCGCGAGGAGGTCACCGACGCCCGGGCGAGGATCGATGCTGTACGGACAACCGGAGATGACGACGATGACGATTCCGATCAATCAGAAGAGTAAAAAGCAAGCGGTGGCGTGTATGAGTCTTGCAACTGGTTGATGTTCGTTGTTTCGTTCGCGATTTTATGTACAACTCTCCTGAAAGCGTTCGTGTGTGATGTGTGATGGTGTCAAGAAGGTGGTTAGAAGAGGGAGCACTGCTGCTTGAGCTTGATGCGGCCCAGGCCGCTGCGGCTGCCCCGGCCCTTCGAGCCCTTGTCGTGGGGGCTGTTCTCCGGGTTGGCCTTGCGGATCTCGCGCACCAGCTCGAAGAAGCAGGCGTCGACGTTGATGCGCGCCTTGGCCGACGTCTCGAGGTACTTGCACCCGAACGACTTGGCCAGGTCGGCGCCCTCCGACGTGGGCACCACGCGCAGGTGCTCCAGGTCGCACTTGTTGCCCACCAGCACCATGGGCACATGGTCGTCTTCCTTGACCCGCAGGATCTGCTCGCGAAACGACGAGATCTCTTCGAACGAGCCGCGGTTGGCGATGGAGAAGACGCACAGGAAGCCCTGGCCCGTGCGCATGTACTGGTCGCGCATGGCGCTGAACTCGTCCTGGCCGGCGGTGTCGAGGATGTCGAGCAGGCAGGTCTCCTGGTCGATCTCGACCTGCTTGCGGTAGGAGTCCTCGATGGTCGGGTCGTAGTCGTCCATGAAGTGGTGGTTGATCAGTTGGATGGTGAGCGCCGACTTGCCCACACTGCCGCCGCCGACCACTACGAGCTTGTACTCTGTCATTCTAGTTCTGTCTTACACTTGTGTCTGTTGTTTGTTCTTTTTGCACCTTTGGCCGAACTGGCCTTTTATGGCACCAGGAATGAACCGAAATGATCTAAAAATAGAACATTGCGTGATTCGTTCAACTCTTTGATTGTCGATTGGCGAGTAAAAATAGATTCACATTCTTTAGATATTGGGCCTCGGCCCGTCGTTGTCGACAATAGTGAGAAGAAATCGAGTTGCTGTTGTGCGTGCTGCTGTTTTATTCAAGTGCGGTGCGCATGTTCATCACGCCGGGAGAGTTGACAACTTGCAGGAAGGCGGGGGAGGTGACGGTGTTATACTCGGCAAACCCCACCTTCTCATACGCCTTGATCGCAGCTATGTTGTCGCTGAACACAGAGATCTGTGCCTTCGTGTAGCCCAGCTGCCTGCCTACTCACCAGAATTGATGTCAGAATTAATGTCAGCCCACCACACGACACGACACGACACGACACGACACGACACACGCGTGAAACAAGGTACAACCTTTGGAAAGGGCGGCCTCCATGAGGAGGTTGTTGACGCCTTGCCTACGGAACTCGGGCTTGGTGGCGACAAACTCCACAACCCAGAACTCGTCCGATTCTGGACGTGGGAGCAACTCACAAACACAACCACACGAAGGTGAGAGTGAGAGCGGTTCAATTGATTGATGAGAGAGGTGACGTACGGGCCAAAGTGACCATACAAGTGGTCATCGTCGCCATCCTGTGTGGGCGTATTGGTGGTGCATTGTTTGTGTAAGTGGTGGCCTTGCCAAAAGTGCTGCGAGAAGCAGATGATCATCAGCATACCCTTCCGTCAGACCGGCAAAGTCTTCTTCGACCCACCCGTACTTGGTGGCCAACACGGTGGTGAGGAGGGCGGAGAAGTTGGTCATGGGCTTCTCCTTGTACGCATAGCCGGTGAGACCTGGTGATAGCAACACGAACAGAGGATTGCGTGAGTCATGAAAACAGCACTCACAGTGTGTGCAACTCGATCACGGCGGGTAAAGACGAACCGCCAGCTCGCGTTCCGTCTTCAGTCTGCGCCACGAACCAGCCGCCCCAGTGGGTGAACGACCCCGTCCCCTCTGGCGACTCGTCTCTGTCCAAAAGGAAACATTTGAATAACTAATTAATCCAAAATAAAAGAAAAATACAATGATCAGAAGAGGAGGGTGTATGCACAGGATGAAGTCGGTGAGGATGGTGAGCAGTTGCTCTTCGGTGTACTTGGACCCGAGGACGCGCTCGAAGAGGCCACGCGGGTGCTGCGAGCGGCCGGCCTGAAGCAGCACCCAGGCCAAGAAAGGCCCGTCTTCGCGTGTGGCCGCTCGCGCAGTGAACTTGGTGGAGGCTGCCATTGCGATGTTGTGGTGGTGGGAGGCTGATGCTTTGTAGAGAGGCGAAGAGTGGAGCCTTTTCTGGTATGCGGCCGAGGTCCTAGGCAAGAAGGCGATTGGCGCGAATGTTGCATATCCAAGGAGAATCCTAGCTGGCTCACGGTTGGTTAAAAAAACATCGACATTGCTTTTCCTTTAGAACATGGGCTAGCCGTCCCATTGGTTGACTGCTTCCGGCACTATGCCCATGGGCCATATATTTCTAGCATTCCTTGCGATGTTGGCATTCCGCATTCCACGTGGCTCAAGCTTACCAGAATTTTAGCTCGTAAATGTAATCTTCCCATCGATCATGGCTGACCACCAAGCTGGTGGAGGCTCTGGGGGAGCACATGAAGTTCTTTCCCTTAGCTCGGGCACTATACCGGTGGATCACGACCGACGCAGCAGAAGGCTGAAAAAGAGTGGATCTTTCCTTCATTTTGCCACTGCCTTCGCATCGTCGCACCGATTCAACAAGAGCGAGGACGACCTCCAACGCGCAGCCTCCTCCTCCTCCTCTTCATTTCCCTCATTCAAATCGAGCAGCGGCAGGGATATCATCGTCGTGAGTGATCGAAGTCGTCTTGTCTGCGACGACGATGACGATGACGACGAGGGCTTTCTCGTCGATCCACTGGCACACGCCGAGGCGACCAACAGCGGCGAGCATGCAGCCACCAAGGCCAGCATCGGCAAGATGAAACTTTTCGACTCGATTCGAATTAGGAGGCCGCGAAGGAAGGAGCGCTCCTTGTCTTCCCTCTCCTCCTCCATGTCGCGCTGCTCTGCATCCTCCATCTCCTCCCACCCTTCATCTCCGATCTCTTCTACTTCTACGATGAATCATCATCGCGCTACTCGCGAATGTTGTTGCATCCCGGGCGGCGACGACTGCTGCAGCAGCAGCTCGGGCCTCTACATAGATGGAACCTACGCGAACGAAACGCTGCCCTACGAGGTGCTACTTCACATCTTCGGCCACCTGTCCATGAAGGAGCTGGGCGTCGTGTGCGTCGTGTGCAAGTTCTGGAAGGAGGCCAGCGAGGCCGACTGCCTGTGGAAGTCGATCACCTTAAGTCTCTGGGGCGGCCTCGGCCTACGTGACGTCCAGCGCGCCGCCGCCGCCACCACTTCCACTTCGACAACCACCAAGGACACCGGTGCACGATCATCGTCGTCATCGTCGTCGGTAGCCTCCACCACCACCACCACTTCTTCTTCTTCTTCGTGTCCGTCGTCTCCTTCGTCGTCATCGTCGTCAGCGCTGCGACCAGCGTCGTCTCCCTTCTCATCGCCCAAGCCATCGCGAAGGCGGGGCCTGCTGGGC